GGAGTACTCCGAGTACGCAACACATACCCTCGCAAACTCTAAAACCTCATTAAGAGCTTAATGGCTTACGCTCTTACGCCCCAACTTCATATCCATGATCAAAACACAGTTTAGAGTCATAAAGTTTCCAACTTTATGACTTTACATGCCTAATAAGAGCTTAACTCAAGGTCTTGATCCCTTAAGACCTTCTACAAGATGCATGGAGTAATTCTAACCAATGAGACTTCATTTTTATGGCTAAGGAACCCTCCTAAGGTCTGAAAGGACAAATCAAAATTCCTGGAACATGCCATGCTCAAGATGAGTCTTTTAGGACCAAAAAGGGACACAAAACACCCATAAATAAGATCTAGTAAACTAGCCATCAAGGTATGAGCTTTATACCTTGAGATGATGGAGAATGGTGCAAAACTTCCAGATCCAAGATGCTTCTTCCCTCCAATATGAGCGTGGTTCCTTCATTCTTCTTCTAAGCGCACAAACACAAACACACACTTTAATGTTTGAAATGGCTTCATAAGGTGGTTATAGGGTTATAATAACGAAATAGAGGATGGAGGTTGTTAAGGTGAAAGGAAATGAGGCCATAAGGGTGCTTAAATACCAGCCAAACCCTAAAAATCAGGGTTTCCTCATTTAGCAAGTACACCCTATGTACATAAATGTACGCCCAACATACTAGGGCGCGCCCTTATACACCCCACGTACACACTACTACGCATGGCGTACTCCTCCCTACCAAAATTACGAAAATGCCACTAGGGCTCCAGTGCATATTTTCTTGGACTTAGGGACCAAAACACAATATAATAAAATCAAAGGGTTGAGATTGAAGTACCTTAACATAAGGATGTCACAACAAGTTATTTATATAAACCCCTTTGCTTTTATACGAAAATAATATATTTATTTGGAAGGAGTTTGCCTAATTGTTTAAGTATCGATTCTAAAGTTAAGTATGATAACACTTAATAACCACTATAACACAACCTTGCAAGTTCTATAAACTCAAAATCTTTGAGTTTTACATATAAAATATAAAATTGTTTGTACGAAGCTTCAAGAGTAAAGTTGGTTATTTTATGTTTTCACAAATAGTATTGTGTCTTATTTTTTATGCTTTGGTATTCAAAATCTTTATATAAAAATGCATTTTGGTCATGAGAACCGTAAAAATTTGATATAAAAAATTATGTATTTTTGTACATTTGATAGAAAAATATGTATTTATAAAAGCTGGTTCACCAGATAAAATTTTATAAAACAATTTTGGTTATAAAAGTACTTTGTGTCAAAACTTGTAGAATTCACCAACAATTTTTGTTAGTGTATCTTAATGCATGTATTTTCAAATTATTTAGCAGGTCGGAAGTGCTCTCACAAAAGACTCTCCAATATTTTTATTATACATTTGTAAACACCAGATTGTTAGGCATGTGTAGTGATTTAGCAATAATTATCGTCAATGTATTTTCTATTTCGGTAATAATAGAATATTATATTTGTACTTTTCAATGTATGTTCAATAACTGTGATCATTGATTTACGTTGCACACCTCAACATTTCCGTCGGCAGTCGGGGGTGTAACAGAAAGGCCCATGGTTGAGTTAAAACAGGGCGAAAGTTTGAGACTTGTGGTTAAAAAAATCATGATCACAAAGAAGGCCATGTATCTCATTAAAGATAACAAGAGGATGTCGGGCAAGAAGATTAAAGTTAAGGCCATTGTAATCTTCTCTTAACCCGAAGATGCCAAGCATTATAAGGTCATTGTCTTTTATTGGTTCCCCGATGTTGGCGAGAGCAATGTAATATTCTTGAGCGCATATTAGGTATAATAGGGGGTTTCATCGCCTTTCATCTATATTTTTGGAAGTTTTTCCTTGAGTGTGTACTTTCTAGAGGCATTGGTGGGTGCATAGGCACTTCAAGGGACAACCACAAGTCACAAGAAGTATTCCCTTGTACATGTTGAAATGATGCTTAAGATGTTATGGAGATAATAATTATTTGAATGTAGGTATTATTGGAGACCCATCGAGTGTAGCTAGGGTTTTGAATGGTAGCATTCTCTATTATTATATTCTGATCAGGTTATAGAATTTTCATATCAATTTAATCAAACAGATTGTTGGTTATCAGGAAATATTCGATCATCCAATACCCATAGTTTGTAGGTGACAAAGAAAAAGCAAACTGTGAGAATTGTGAAAGATTGAATGGTTGCCATGGTAATTAGGGTTAGAAGGAGGAGAGGAACGAGAATAAGATGAATGTGAAGACATCAATAATTAGGGTTAGAAGGATGAGTGATTTCTACACTTTCATACCATATATAGATGTGATAATTGAAAGATTATATATGTTGATTATTGTGATACAATATATATAATTTTATATAACTAAAAAAATATATCTTAATTAATAATTTATTTAAAATTATTTATTAATAATTTTGAGCTCTCACTATTAAAGTTTAATTAAGTTTATAACCGTGGTTTCCACGGGTTATAAACTAGTATATATATATATATATATATATATATATATATATATATATATATATATATATATATATATCCCTATTCTAATAAATGAATATGTTTATTCTTCTATTGACAAGTGTCATTATATTAGAACCCCTCATTAATATTATATGTCTCATATAATGTCATTTGTCAATATATTAATTATCCATTTCAAATTTTAAATTTCCCATCTAATTACACTAAATTTTAATTTCACTTTAATTGAATTAAATTAATAACATTAGATTAACAAATAAAATAAAACTAATACAAATTATAAGGTGGTATAACTTCATGTATTTATTTAAATCAATGATTATAGTTTTATATAACTAAAAAATATATCTTAAATAATAATTTATTTAAAATAATTGATTAATAGTTTTGATATTTTAATATGAAATTTTAATTAATTTTATAACCGTGGTTCTCACGGGTTATAAACTAATATATATATATATATATATATATATATATATATATATATATATATATATATATATATATATATATATATATATATATATATATATATACACACACACACCAACATTCCATTATTTTACAACTACAAAATACCAATCTTTACATATTTCCTCTTCTAATCAGTTCTCAAATTTAAATGTCTTCCCACCACTCAAGATACAACTCAAATGCTCTCAATTCTTCCATCCAAAATGTTTCCAACCTAAATTTCGGATATGATCTTACTTTTAGTTTTTATTTATTTACTTTTCAATCTTATGGTTAAAGAAAAGTTTTATTATTATTATTATTATTATTATTATTATTATTATAAATAAAATAAATGTCACCTGTTCATAGGTAAAGAAAAAGCAAAAATTAAAAAAATCCTATATGATACCTATAGACACCAAATATTGAAGGTAACAAATAACACCACATCTTTATGATGTAGGTTTGGTGTTGTAGTAATCTAATCATCACGCACTAAGATGATTTATACCATCAATAGCAAAGACATTTGTCGTGTTCTAATCATGGTGCATAAGATGAGTTTTAATTTACCACCAATAGCAAAGATATTCCATGTGTTGAACATATGTATTGTTCAAGGCATATACATGTGAACATGAAACAATTTCGAAAAGAAAGAACGTATTAAAACCTACTGTGGAAACGTGCAACAACTAGTGTCTAATACTTTGACTAAGCAATCAAGGAGTTGAATTAAATTATTAGGCAAATTTGTTTTGATAAAAATAGTTTGCTTTACATTTTATAAATAAAATAATCAAATCAAAATAATCATTATCTAAAATAATTATTTTTAAAAATTCTCATATTGTTTTAAGAAAACTTTAATTTTCTTCGTCTACATAAATCCTTACACACCAAAGGGCTTCTAGCCTAGGGATGAGATTTAGAACTGGAAACCCGGATCGGAACTGGAATCGGACCGGAACCGAAACCGTTAGAACCGGAATATATAAAATTGGTTCCGGTTTCGGGTTTAAAATTGGCTTTATTCGGGTTCCGGGGTAATCCGGGTTTGGGTCCATTGGATCTGGGTAAACCGGGTCTAAAAACCGGAACCAGTGTTAGGAACCGAAACCACTTTTAGGGTCAGAACCAGTTTTTGTGAAACATTTAAAATATGCATATCTCATTAGTTTCAACTCAGATTGACATGCGGTTTTTTCCAACATGTAGTTTAGAGTTTGTACATGATTTTAGACTATAAATTTGACATTTTTAGTTTTATATTCATTGACTTACAACCCCTGAAAGTCTATATATTAAAGCTGGAAGTTTTTAGGTTTTCATTTTTTTTTGTATTCGGTGAAAGTTTTAAAACATGGATATCTAATTCGTTTGAAGTTGGATTCATATGTGGTTTTTTTTCAACTTGTAGTTTATAGTTTGTACATGAGTTTAGACTATATTTTTGTCATTTTTGCTTTAAAAATTCAATTATTTACAGTCCTCCGAATTCGAGATATCAAAATTGAAAATTTTCAAAGTTTACCCACTAAGTGGTAAGTAATTACCAAAACATTCCGGTTTTTCCGGTTCTCATGTTTCCGGGTTTTCTGGTTCTAGACCCACTTTACCCGGTACCGTACCGGAACCGGTTCCTATATACCGATCCGGTTTCCGGTTCTAAAAAATCCCGTTAACCGGTTCCGGGTTTGGACCCACTATCATCCCTATTCTAACCCAGCGGTATCCGGTGTTGTACTCCCTCATTGAGGTTGAAGGTTCAAGTCCCGTCGCGAACATATGTGAATTTAAAATGTATTTTAGAGCATAAGTGGATTTAAAGTGTAGTTTATGAGTATATTAGATTTGTCGTTTAAAAAAAACATAAATCTTTACACTAAATATTTTTTATATCTTTGTTTTTTTAAAAAAAAAAAAAAACGACAAACGACTTTTAGAAAAGTCTAAATGTAAGGGCTATTTTAACAATAACCCATATCAAATATATCGTGACCTATGTTTGGAATAAGTTAGATTTATTTTATTTTATTTATTGTGAAAAAGATTGTTTTTAGAATAAAAAAGAAACATTGAGACCCGATTGCATCGGTTCGCATCTGTGGTCTCTTCCTGTCTGGTGTCTGCAACAACGAGAAGGGACTCATTTTTCTCTGCAACTCCGTCATTCTCTCTCTGACAATTTTCAATTCAATCTCATGCAAAATCTCATCCTCCGCCATTTTTGAATCTGAACAAACTCTCTCTCCCTCTCTAAAAATGGAAGTTTCCCCCTCTTCATCTGAAGATACATCCGACACTTCTCAACAACAATGCTCCTTCTCCATCTCCGACAACCACCGTCTATACTTGGTCCCTTTTAGGTCTATTCATTTCTAAATCGAACCAAAATGTGATAATAAAACAGCCCGATAACGATTTTATTTTATCTGCTGTAGGTGGTGGAAAGAAGCTGAAGGTGGGTGTGGTGATCCAGATGGGGGAACGAAGAAGAAAAGAGGGGTTTTGTACGATGCGTTGCCGGCATCGTCTTTGTATGCTGGTCCAATGAAGATACTCAATAGCATTTTTAAATCAGATCTTGCATTTAACCTTATTAAAAAAGAAGAAGAAGATGATGATAATTATGTTTCTGAGAATAACGGAGGGGAAGATAGAGACATAAATGGAGTATCTGGACGAAACTATGCATTGGTTTCTGCGGATATGTGGCTTGAGGCACTTAAATGGTATGTGTTTTCTACTAACTTTACAGAAATATCACGGATCATCATATTTTCATTTGAGTGTGAGAGCGTCACTACAATCAATAATTTGTCATTTTGACCAGGCTTGTGTTGTGGTTTTGTTTATGAATGTCAATCTAGGTGATTGTATATTTGCTACTTTTAGTTAATAGTAGATAACTAGTTGGAAAGTAATCAGAGTTAACGGTTAGATCTAGTTTAACATGCTTTTTTAAGCGAATTCACAATCACTTTACTTAAACATCATACATGATTTAATCCTTGTTTTGATTTAGAGTTTTGTTTCAGTAAGTCTGTAACCATGCTTCTTCTTTTCCTCACTAAGTACTGATTGGATAAACTGCTGTCTGGATAAAGTATATTTAAGAGAAAATTAAGTCATTCTCTCTGCATTATTGCAAAAAGAAACACCCATATTAAGTATAAAAGAAACAGTAGCTCAACGTAGTTGCTTTGTATATATGCCAAGGTTTGTAAGTTGTGCTGTTTTCGTGTGTGTGTGTATGCAAGGTGTAAGGTATGATTGAGAATGGCAATTTAGGAACAAAATGAATTTGTTGATCTGTTAGTAGTGGCATTGTAGGCATAGTGAGTCCAAAGGCACAGCGAAGGCGTCCGAAGATGATATGACTGATGTATACCCTTTACAACTCAAGCTTTCTATTTTGCAAGACACCAACACATTGGGAGTAAGAATAAGCAAAAAGGTGCATATCATCAATCCTTTATGTATTTGCCCCTTTTTTCATCCAAACTCCTCTCATGTTAAAGTTGATTAATAATGTTAAAAAAAATTTGTTGGAATGCAAGGGTTAAATGGTCATTTAGTTTCATTAAGACGATTTATTAAGTGTAGAAAAGAAACAGAATTTATGTATACAACACTTTATCCATACAAAATTACCTTATGTACTTGAAGTTGAGTACATAAGGATCACCAGAAACAGTTTCATTTTTTTTTTTTTTTTTTTTTTTTTTTTTTTAAACCTTATGTACTTAAAGTTGAGTTTATAGTGTGTTCTTGCTTAGAAGTTTCTAGTACCCACACACACTATTAGCTGAAAGTAAGTTTAATAACTATGTGAAGACATTATTGATCATTGCATAAAAAAAACCTGAAATCTTTGAATAAGAACATGTCAATTACTTGCTCCATGTATCATCTGCTGATTATTTGAATATTTTGAATTCTCATCAAATTCAAGGAATCCACTTTTCTTTATTGGTGTTATTTACAGGATAACGCTGTCGAGTGTTTTCGAAGAGCCTGCAAGATTTTTAGCATAGAGTCTGAAGTAGTAAGTAACTGTATCTTTTTTATTTTTTTGGTTCAGCAGGAGTTTGTAGCAATTATGAGAAATTTGGAACTTTTTGTGCAGTTATACATTTGGGATTTTTCTGGACAAACAGCTAATTTTCTTCTAAACGACAACAGCAAGAACACCAAAGACTTTCCAAGACAGCCTGAGCAAGATGTAAGTTGTATTTGAATGCTTATCACAGCTCTTTTTGAACTTTATAAAACATGAAACCTTTCAATCTCAGTCACAGCATGTAAAGTTTCGTATATTGCAATATATGCATTCAGATGCTGTATAATCAATCGGATCCATTATATACACTAGCATTGTGTAAAATAATGAAAAATACAATCTCCAAAAATTTGATCCCGAAATTGAATGAAATTTTTTTGTTGAGATTTCCGTATTTGATATGCTACTAAGAGTGGTCCTAATAACATGATATGTAATAACCCCACCCCATGCAGATTCTGTTGGAGCTGCAAGTTTATGGGTTGTCAGATTTGATTAAAAACAAAGATATGAAAAAAGATGATGTGAATGTGATTAAAGGTTCATTAAAGATGAACGGTTGTATGAGCATGCGTAGTGAGAAGGGTTCGTTGGGGTTAACCGGTTTACAGAACTTGGGTAACACTTGTTTTATGAATAGTTCTCTCCAGTGTCTTGCTCATACCCCAAAGCTTGTTGATTACTTCCTTGGAGATCACAGGAAAGAAATAAACCACGATAATCCATTGGGCATGAATGTATGTTTATGTTACCACTTACTACTACTACTACTAGTCTCTCTCTCTCTCTCTCTCTCTCTCTCTCTCTCTCTCTCTCTTTTTTTTCTTTCATGCTTTCTAGGCCTATTTTCTTGATGATGTTTTCTGTCAAGACATAACAGATGAATGGGGAGTAAAATCGCAATTTTTTTCCCACCCAAGCCAAAAAAGTGTAGCAAGTGCAAAAGACATGACTAACCAAACGCATGCTACCTACATGATTGGTTTTCTTCATTTCTATTTCAAACAAGCAAGTAGAAGATTATTGATTTTTTATGGCTATGATGACATGACAGGGTGAGATTGCAATGGCGTTTGGAGATTTACTAAAGACATTATGGGCTCCTGGGGCAACAGCTGTACCACCACGAACATTCAAGTCCAAGCTTGCTCATTTTGCTCCTCAATTTAGTGGCTTCAATCAGCACGATTCTCAAGTTTGTAGTCTTTATCTCTTCTCCTCAATCCCTCCAGTCCAGCTGTAATAACAAACAACTTCCATTCCCACCAGAGGGAGGTTATATGAATATGATTAAAGTCTGTATGGTGATTTTGTAATGCAGGAGCTCCTTGCTTTTCTATTAGATGGACTTCACGAAGATCTAAATCGTGTTAAATGCAAACCTTATGTTGAAGCCAAGGATGGTGATGGTAGACGAGATGAAGATATAGCTGATGAATACTGGCAGAATCATCTCGCTCGCAACGACTCTATCATTGTTGATGTATGCCAAGTAAGTACCTCTCCTTTTAAATGCTGCCTAGATTTTTTCAAAGTAACCTTCCCTTGCCCTTCCCCTTCCTTAATAAGAAAGCAAGTGGTATGCCTATAATAGAAAGACATGGAAGCAGGAGTCCTGAATTATAATCATAAGGTCCAAACTTTATTTAAAGTAGTGCTCGTGAAAGAATATGGAAAGCAATTAAGCAACGCATATGAGTTGAATTTTGTTATAATAATGGGCATGGCAGGGTCAATATCGGTCAACACTGGTATGCCCAGTTTGCAGAAAGGTGTCTGTCACATTTGATCCGTTCATGTATCTGTCATTACCCTTACCATCAACATCACTGAGGACAATGACTTTGACACTTGTGTCCACCGATGGTAGTGCTCAGCCAAATCCTGTAACTGTTAGTGTTCCCAAGCAGGGAAAGTTTGAAGATCTTGTTAATGATTTGAGAAACAAGTGTTCTTTAGGGAATCATCAAACCCTCATGGTGGCTGAGGTGTGTTCTACTTCTACATTCCCTCCCTCTCTTCCATCCAATCCATGTTCTTCTGTTTCTAACATTTTAACATCATCTACAGGTATACAACAATCATATTATACGCTTTCTAGGGGACCCCGCTGATTCATTATCCTTAATTAGGGATGATGACCGACTTGTTGCTTATAAGTTACAAAAAGATTATCACAAATTTTCTCAGATTGTTTTCGTTCATCAGCAAATAGAAAAGTAAGTTCAATGTTTCTTTTCTGTTTTTGATATAATCACTTATTAAAGTTTAAACTTTATTATACCATTCTACTTCCATTTCTTCGTATTGCAACATTCTTCTTTGTTTCTTTGCCTTTGTTCAATTTGGTTGGGATCCTTCGAATTACAAAGACTTTTTTCCCACTGCAAGTTATTTTGCATTATCATTAGCATTTTTAATAAAACTGCTTATGGAAAACCTTGTCCCGGATGAAGTTGAAAATTTTCGGGTTAACTGCAAGAAATAACAGCATACTTTTATTGATATGCTTATTATAGTATCATACACTCATTTCTTCTTATTAGAAGAACCTTGTACTCTGAAAAATGTACCCAATAGTAGTAATGGCATCCAAATACAAAACAGTTTGAATGCTATATAGCTGGGCATATTTTGCAAAGTATGATGTCTAAATAATAAAAAGTTGAAAGCAAAATGCTAATAATAAGAAAAATGAAAAAGAAAGGGAAAGCACTATACTGTAATAGTAAAAATTGAAAGTTGGATGCTGTAACAGACAATTATATGAAAGTATGTTGCTATTTTTTGCAATTAGCCATAAAACTTGAAAGTTGAATTCCCAGTTTTTTTGAAGCTATAGTTGGGTAGCTTTCTTTCTTAAAGTACAATGCTTTAGTAAGAAAAAAAAATCTGAAAGTACAATGCTGTAATAGAAAGTCAGATGCTAAATATACAAAACAAAAAAAGTACGTTGCTATTTCTGGAATTTACCTTAAACTTTGTGACAGCACCCGTTTTTGTTTGATGCTATAGTTTTTTCAATGTACAATGCTATAATAAGAGAAAACGTGAAAGTATAATGCTGTAGTAGAAAGAAATGAAAGTACGATGCTGCAACCAACAAAAAAAAATCAAAGCTGTTAATATTTTTTCCTTGCATATAGTCCTAAATAAAATTCACGAAAGTGCCCGTTTGTCTTTGGTCATATCTTCATTTTTTGACTTGTATATACATACAGACAGGCTTTTGGGCTTCCTCTTGTAGCTTGTGGTGAAATTGTAAAAGGACACGATATCCGTGATTTATATTTCAAAGTACTCAAGGCTTTCACAATAAAGGCCAAGAATTCTTCCACAGAGAATAATGGCAACATGCCAACCGAAGATGAAGATGAAGAAACAAAGAATGAGTCGTGCTCTGATTATGAAATAAAGTTTTATTTGAGTGATGATAATGGAAATGTGAAAGGCTGTGAGATTGTTATGGATGAGTTGTTAAATTCAAGCGAGTTGACCGGTCGAGTAAACATTGTTGTGTGTTGGTCTGATAAGAATAAGATGGTTGAAGAATATGATCAACGGCTTCTTAGATCACCTGCTGAAATCTATAAGCCTGCTTTGTTTAGCAAACGGCCTCAAGAGTCTATTTCTTTGTATAAATGCTTAGAAGCATTCCTTAAGGAAGAGCCACTTGGACCCGAAGACATGTGGTAAGTGCCTAATTTATAAAACCCTCTCATCTTTTATACTAATTATAAAAAAATAGCCAGTCCTAGAAAGCTCTTTCAGTCTTGTGTAACAAAGGCAGCCTTCTTAGACTGTGTTTTGTTACACGGGTTTAGAATGTTTTGGATGACGAGAATACGTTTTTGCACAAATGAGAGATTGAGTCCTTTGTGGGTGGGACAAAAAGATTGCAAATTTTGTCTTGTTCACAAAGAAAGAAAAAAAAAAAAAAGCAAAGCAGGCAGCAAGTTTGTTAAGTGATAAATCTAATGATGTGTTGTTATAGGTACTGTCCTGGGTGCAAAAAACACCGACAAGCTAGTAAGAAGCTAGACCTATGGAGACTGCCAGAGATCCTAGTAATTCATTTGAAGAGATTCTCATACAGCAGATTCTTGAAGAATAAGTTGGAAACATACGTTGATTTCCCTATCCACGATCTTGATTTGTCAACATTTGTTGCATACAGTAATGGACGATCAAGTCATCGTTATATGCTTTATGCAATTAGTAATCACTATGGAAGCATGGGAGGTGGCCATTATACCGCCTTCATCCGTGTAAGCAGATCACTATTTTCACAAAAACAAAAAATTGCAATTTCTTGTCAAGATCTCTTGCACTTAAATGCCCCTCCTTATCATCATCTTCATAAAAATAGCCCTCGATCACTTCTCCGGTTTGGTCCCATCCGGTTATGGATTTGCTAGGCTATTTTTGATGATGAGGATAACTGGATAAGGAAGGCATTTACGTGTTTAAAAAGAAACACTCGTCCTCATATATAGTTTTTTTATTTTTCATTTATCTTAATGTAGCATGATGGGGATAGATGGTATGACTTTGATGATAGCCATGTCTCCCCAATCGATGAGGATAGAATCAAGACTTCTGCTGCTTATGTTCTCTTCTACAGAAGATTAGAAGAATGACCAACCACTAGCGCTCAGCCTGGCCCTGGATCAAATTTCTTCATTCTTTTTTCCCATTCTTCAACTATAGTATAGGTGGCCTTTTTTCATTCAACTGAATCATTTGGAATTCAGAAACAGCTTAACATACAAAGGAAGCCTGCCTGCCTGCCCGCCTGCAAATCTGAACACTTTTATCTGAGTTCTAACAGCCAACATTAGCATACTCAATTTAGTTTACAGTCCAAGAGGTAAAGATCAAATTTTTTATTTATTTATCATAGGCTACATCTTTGTAACCTTGTGTAAATTACATGAAAATTATAACTTTTTTAATTTTTTGTTGTTACATGTTAGCTGGCTAGCTGCAATGTGACGGATCCGCTAAATTTTATACTATCAAATCAAATTTTAGTATGGGAAACGTAGATAGTAAGATTTGGAACAATTGTTATATATATATATATATATATATATATATATATATATATATATATATATATATATATATATATATATATATATATATATATATATATATATATATATATATATATATATAAGGGAGGGTTCAATTGAGAAAAAAGGTTGAGAATGGGGGAATCATTCTCAGCCAATCATTTATTTTTGCCGCAAAAGGCTCCAACGTACCGGCGGAAATGCGAAACGAATGCACATGTGTTTTCCAACATAACATATTTCTTTAAACTATACTAATCATTACCTTAATGTATACAAAAACATAATTTTTTTCATTTTTTTAAAATTTTTATAAGCTATTTTTATCAAAAAATGATTTTAAATATACTAAAATTCATGATTTTTTATTCTCTACAAATAAACATCCATATTGGTATAGTTCTAAGATAATATATATATATATATATATATATATATATATATATATATATATATATATATATTATATTTTCAGCTATTGTTATTCATAAATGAATAACAATGCATCAGGTTTTATTACAGTACATTCGTTATTCACTTATGAATAAAAAGTATGATTTTTTTTTTTTTACAATTTAAGTATCATTCATATATGAATATAGCATATAATAAACATAGTATATTCATATTTTAATATTGGACGCTGAATTCACTTGTGAATATTAACATAGTATATTCACTTGTGAATATTAGATGGTATATTCACTTATGAGTATTAAATGATATTTCATATGTGAATATTACATAGTTTTACATGGTATCACATGTGAATAATACAGAATATATTCACTTGTGAATATTAGATAATATATTCACTTATGAATATTATACATTATATTCACATATGAATATGACAAGGTATATTCATTTTATGAATATTGAAGGTATTTTGATAAATATATATAATTTTTATATGTTATTCACATATGAATAACATACAAACTTGCATATTTGTTTTGTGTTTTTAATAATCATATATATACTGATTCAGGTGAGAAAACATATTCATATGTGAATATAAACGTGGTAATTTAGTTTATGCATTTCATCAAACAGTTGGAGTGCAAACAAGTTAACTGTTTTAAAAATGTTTAAAACATCAAGTTATTAATTCCAAATCATCATATACTTTCGATTTCGACTTTAGATGCGACATCCTATCTCTGATCGATTTCTTAATTTGATTTTGATTTCCGAAAATCCAATTGGGAACCTGTGAGTATCGATTCTAAGTCCCTTAATGTCGACTGTGATTGCGAGTTCAGAACTCCGATTCCAATTTCATGAACAACGAAGAAATTTCGGTTTAGTTGAAGAAATCTGGATGATTATTGAAGGTTGGAGGAAAAATTTTGATGATGAACGAACAGTTATCGAATTCTCTATAGTTACGTATTTGAGATTGAAGGTTATTACGATATTTACAAGTTTGCCACTGTGTCTTTTATGCTTAGATTAAATGAGTGGCTGAGAATGATTCTCTCATTCTCAACCTTTTTTATTTTCTCAATTCAACCCACCTCTCTCTTTCTCTCTCTCTCTCTCTCTCTCTATATATATATATATATATATATATATATATATATATATATATATATATATATATATATATATATATATATATATATATATATATATGAGAGAGAGAGGGTGGGAGGGAGCATAAATATTAATGAAATGTAGTGTTTAAGTCATATCTAGTCTTAAAAAAAGATTTGATGGATTTTTTTTTTCTTTTTTGAAAAATATTCATATATATGCATGCATATATGCACTTGCAGTCATGTTGATGGGTGATGCATATGTCCGCAGTCCATAGGACTGCTGATTCATATACATCTGTAGCCTATATGACTGTCGATGCGTAGTTTTGAACTACTGATGGATAGTTTGTAAGTTCTCACATTTTTTTGGGTTCGTACAATAACCCACCGTGTGTATATATATATATATATATATATATATATATATATATATATATATATATATATATATATATATATATATATATAGAGAGAGAGAGAGAGAGAGAGAGAGAGAGAGAGAGGACACCTTAAAAAAATTGAAAAAAAATCTAAAAAAAATACAAATCATAAGATCTATATCCGGGAGAAAAAAAATTGGGGAAAAAAAAATTGAATCATTAAAATTGAATCATGGATCATAATGATGCAGAATTAAAAATTAAAATTGAATCATGGATTAATTTTAATGATACAATTTTTTTTTTCAAATTTGGTTTCTCCTAAACATAAATCTATGCTCAGTTTTATGATTTGTACATTTTTATATTTTTTTCCATTTTTTTTATGTTTTTACTTATATTTTTAGGTATTAATCGAACTAACAAACAATAAAAAATCTATTAACCGGTATATTTATATTATCCTATTATAGTCCAAACTTTTTTGAACGTTGTTTTTAGTTTTATATTACTAAATAAATATTATTAGCTTTTTTTTTTTATAATATTAATATAATTGGAATGTTCTTTAATATTTGTTTTGTATTATACGATAATATTTTTAGAATAAAAAAATTGTTCTGAATGAGCTATTGATAAATAATATTAATTAAATAAACTTTATATTATACTCTTTATATTCACAAAAAACATTCAAAGTTTTAGATATAAAATTTCAAATATTCAACATTAAAATTAAGAATAAAATCACATAAAATATATCCATAGTAAATATCATGGTTAATTTTCATATATGTATTTTGGAATGTCTACATTTGACTTTTAGTTGTTACACACTTTCTTAATTTGTATTTAAAAAATTAAGATGAACGAGTAATATAAAAAGTAGATTTTACAAAGCATGAAGCAAAATAATTAAAAAAAAATGTACATGGATCTTCTCACCATCGGTTAACGACCGCCTGATTCTTTAGTAGTGTAACGTCCAAAATTCTAACACACACACACACACACACACACACACACACATATATATATATATATATATATATATATATATATATATATATATATATATATATATATATATATATACTAGTTTATAACCCGTGGGAACCACTGTTAGAAAATTAATTAAGTTTCTAAATAAAAACTCAAAACTATTAATTAATAATTTTAAATAACTTATTAATTAAAATATATTTTTTAGTTATATATAAAATTATAATCGTTGATTCAAATAAATACGTAAAATATATCATCTTATAATTTGTATAAATTTTTTTTATTATAATTTGTATCAATTTTATTTTATTTTTATTCTAATATTATTAATTTAATGTAATTAAAATGTGATTTAAATTTTGAAATTTGAAATGGAGAATTAATAGATTGACAAGTGTAATGATATTAATTACATGTGTTAATAGATTGACAAGTGTCATGATATTAATTACAATGCCTAACATTGTGACACATGACAAAATAATTACTCTTTTATTAGATAGGGATATATATATATATATATATATATATATATATATATATATATATATATATATATATATATATATATATATATATATTCAAATTAGAGTGGAGTTTTTACCAAAAGGATTTATATAAAATCATTATTTAATCACAAAACCATCTATTCACATCATGTTAACATAATCATAGTAAAAATGCGGAAGCTATGTCTTGTTTTGAAAACCACAATTTTACTGTATAACATATATGAACAATTGTATAACATATAAACAATCTCATATTATATAAACAATCACATTTCATATACAACCAACCTTTCGTTATTTATTCAACATTTTACTAAATAACTAAACTTTTGTTAGATATCGAACATTTTATTATATACCCAACATTTTGTTATAAATTCAACCTCTTATTATATAACCAATATTTTGTTATAAATTCAACCATTTATTATATAATCAACATTTGGTTATATATATTCAATATTTTATTATAGTTCCAACTGTATGATAGACACATGTCCCTTAACATTATCTAACCTAAGAGAAACACCCCGTTAATTACTTGTGTGCACGACCAGTTGAATGCTCTAAGTGGCTCATGACTTCCACCCGAAACACCAACCCCGAGACTCCATTTTTGCTACTTTGACTTTTCAAAGTACAAGTACTTCGCGGTGTCGTTAATGATCAGTATAAATGGTGCCAATTCAACAAATACACCTCCCAATTCCCAAATGATGCTTAATCCGACCACAACATAAAGCCAACATCACTCCAGTTTCTGTACACTGGGGTGCATGCGAACCACGTGTCACACAACCATCTAGAAAGACCGTGCAACTCACAACCGATATGGCTTATGTTCTTTTAACCGATTAGATTTGCAAGGTTCTACCCATAACACCACTATACCCTGCAAAAACAATCATTGTTCAACATAGACATTTTACTCATACAACCTTAATGAACAATAAAACATATAATAAAATTCTTCATATTATCACATGTGCCTACCAATTCTTTAAACCTCATCACCGCATGCAATTACAACTAACACATAACATGCATACAACCATAACAATTGATTCCAATGCATAACCATACACAAGTTGCAAACAACATATTTTCAAAAAATTATCACAATCATTAACAACTCTATGATAATCCTAATTTGCATCAAATATCCACTAATGAGATGTAGTTTTTGGTTGTGGACTAAAGTTAAGAAAATTAACGACTCACTCCCAATAACTAGCATGTCATATGCATCAAGTTGCCTAAGTGGAACTAATTGATCGTAACATATAAGCATGTATTATTTTTCACATATTCATCAAACAAGGCATATAATTTAGTTTCATAACACAAATCATCATATTCTTTTCATAATCATAATTGATTAACAGTGGAGCTTGGATGATTGGATGAGTTGTATTCTCTTCTTCAAGGCATTTGACATTTCTTTCAAAATTCCTCTTTTTCAAAACTTGTTCCAAA